CTCCGACTCAAGACCAATGCCTCCTCTGTCGTCTTTGGGGTTGACTCGTATAGGCTCTTTGCGCGCGTCTTCGGACTTGCCCAGAGCATCGCCCTGCTTGAATCCAAATTTGGCCATCATCTTGAATCCCTTATTGGTCTCAGGCAGAGCAGTGGCGAGGGCAGCTTCGCGTGCAGCTTCAGCCTCTTCTTCTCGTTCGGCTTTGGTTTTCTGTCGCGCTTTGGCTTCGCCCTGTCAATGTGTCAGTCTGGCGAAATCTGGCAAATCCACTCAACGCACCTCTTTGCGCTTGCGCGCGGCGCGCTGGAGGGAAGTCTCATACTTTGGCCCCTTTGGCGCATCCTCAAACACCATATTCATGTAGTCATCCTCCTCGTCCGATTGCGCCATCTTGTGCTAGTGAGTTGTGAATGGTCTCAAAATTCGTGTTGTCGACTCGCGCGCCTCAACTCCAGGGCTTGCAGGATCGCCCGCAGCGGCAGCGACCCACCTTCGTAGCGTTCCCTTGGCATATGTCAGGGCAGGCGATCCCCCAGAGTCTTCTTTCGACCACATCTCCTCGCCCAGCCTACTACTGCCATCGGCCCTCAATCAGCGCTATAGTGACGCATCGCCCTCACTGACGCGGGTGCACATTAGGCCTCCCAAACGATCTCGTCACCAACCGTAGACCCGGGAGGCTCGAACAACGACTTCCGCCACCTACGTTCCTTGGAAGAAAGGGCTGGGCCGGCCCTGAGTGCCACACAAATCGATTTGGACACGACATCAACCGCACATGGCGGGCGTTTCGGATGCCAAGGCAACCCCTGCTCGATGTTGATTTAGATGACTTTCAGTGCGACGGAGCCATCCGCTTGCATCCTCTGTCCTAGCGTGTATATCAAGATGCAGAGATGCAGTCGCTTGCTGGGTGTTGGGATTGATTCGGCTCGAGCCCATCATTTCGGCTTCTTGCCTTCATGTGAATGAGGGGGCTGGTGATTCTCTTACCTGAGGCAATAAACATCTGCTCACCTGCTGCTCTAGACGGCTTTAGATTATTTCCTTCCTGCAACAGAGAGGCGCGTCTCCCGAATTCAGATCGACCACCGACAAGCATTGGCTTACATTGGTTGCCGCTTCAGGGGGGGTTTCTCCACCTCTAACCTCAAAAGGTGCAGGACCCGCGCTACCGTCTGGGGTCAACAACGATCCCTCGCACTGTTCGGGCTGCTCAGGGCTGTTCGATATGATCGCTTGTCACTCGAGTCAACGCCTTTTCGCCTCTGGCTGTAGTAGGACGAGCCAATCCAGATAGACCGGCTTTGCCGAGTAGCTTGGTCCCTCTCGCAGTCCTATCCACTCACGGCTCTTCGGCGCCATAGGTTACAAAATGTGGCCGCTTTCTTTAGACATCCCTCACGCATGTGCCAGTTGATCCTTCGAATGCCTGCGCTGCCTCGGCTTTGTAATGCGACCGGATAGGTGGTGAGTGCTTCGGAGCGTATCCGCAACAGGCTACTTTCTCGGGCAACCCGTCATCTTCATGAAAATCGCTAAGAGGCCTGTCACTGATCGTACCCGTTTCGACATTCGCCTTGCCATCGGTGCACAGTCAATTGGTAACTGGCGTAAGAGGGGTCTCGGTCGTTTTCGCGCATGTGCCAGTCTCCTACACATTCCCCAGCTTTTGACATCCACAAGGTGTGCGTTCCCCGCGTACCTCCGCGTTCATACCGTCCTTGGAAGTCTTGGTGTATTTTCTTATTTCTACTTAATTCGCGTGCGACACCCTGCGGGTCTGTCCCCTGAAGAACCCACAGCTGCTCTGAATCGCCATCAACCGGTGGGCGGTAGAACTATCGAACTGTACACAACAACATCTTTACACTTCACACGAGACCGTCAATATGGAGAGCAAAGACGGCGGAGCGACACGGGCGGACGATGTGTATACAACGCCTCAGAAGAAAGGCGGCGTTATGAATAAGCTCTACCCGCCAGGGCCCACGCCAGGCGCCAAAGGGCGTATGAAGAACCATTGCAGAAAGTTTTGGTGGTGTGGTAAGTCTCTCCCGACAGCCTCAACGTACTTCGTGTTTACATTACGTCAGATTGCCTGGTCCTCGTGATCATTGTGTTGGTCATTGTTCTGCCAATCATATTTGTCGGTATACCAAATAAGGCACAGCATGAGATCAACTCCTCGACACTCGAAGTTACTGCTCAGGAGGTTACCAACCCGCAGCCAGAAGGTGTGCACCTGAAGATTGATACAGTCATCAGGAGTGGCAGCAGTTATCACCCGAAGATTGATAGTTTCAAAGCTGGACTATCGCTACCAGGGCAAGACCCCTTTATCTACATCACCATACCGGAAGCGAAGTCTGAGGCAGAGACCCGCGTCACCGTCGACCAAGATGTCATTTTCGCAAGTGATGTCGAGTTCTCCAGTTACACCAAGGCTGTGCTGGACAGTGAGACGATCCAAATCCACCTTGACGGCAAGACGAACATTCATCTCTCTGGTCTGCCTACCATGGACGTCGATTACAACAAAGTCATTACGATGAAGGGTATGTCGCATTGAAGCTACAGAAGAACTAGACTGATTGTGCTTGCAGGACTAAACAAGCTCTCCGGGCTCAACATCAGCGACGTGCGCATTCTCTCTGGCACAGACGAGATCCTTTCCGATGGCTCCAACCTCATTGCCAACGTCAGCATTCCCAACCCGTCTGTCATGACCCTCGACCTAGGCAACATCACCATGAACCTAGCCGTCGACGGCACCGCAATTGGCTACGCACTCATTCCAGACCTTTACCTCAAACCCGGCGACAACGTGTTCCCTTTGCAAAGCCACGTCGACCAGCTCGCTATCTTGGGCCTGATTCAGAACAAGTACAACGATGCTGTGCTGCCGCTTGAGATTGTGGGCAACTCGAGTATCAAGGATGGTCAGCACTTGACCTACTACGAAGATGCGATCAAGAGCAATACGATCAACCTGAATCTCGATGTTGGACCAGCGTTGGCTGATATTGGGATTAACATCACCAGCTTTGGGGACTCGTAGATCGCCTAGTATCGTCGCAGTACTTTTGTGTCCTTGTTTCTGAGGCCATTCATGAGGGGTTGGAGTGTTGAAATGCGCCTGCTTTGATACCATCGCTTGGATGATTGTTGTTATGGAGGATGAAGTGGTTAATGTATGATACCTTGTCGTTACAGTAATACATAATATTACTCTCAACACGTGCGTCTGTGCCTTTGAACCTTCTCGAAACATGAGGTCTTCTTGCCTTTATACAGAAAAGCGAAAGGCTATTCGCTCAAACATCTCAATTCTGAACATTTACCCTAATCACAGAGAGTGATACCGTTCGCTCCTAACAGAGTCAAGATAGAGTCGAGGTAGGTGATCTATCAACCCACGCGTCTCTTGCACTGAGCTTTTTGGATCGGTCCAGAGTTCTCTCCCAGAACGACGATATGCACCCACAACTACTTCATCTGCTACGGCAGACCTTTTTGAACGGCGCACGGAATATTACAACACGACACTCAGTCTCCCCTCTTCCGGGCACAACAGTGTCTTTGACCTCAGAACGGAATATCGACATCGCGAAGACATCGATTCCTTCGTCATCATTGGTTGACAGTGTTGTTTGAACGTGTTCTCGTTGACCTCAGAACACTGATCGATATTCGAAGACATCGACGTCATCACCGGTCGACACCGCTATCCTGTTGTTTTTCTTTGACCTCAGAACAGACAATCGACGTCCTGAAGACATCGTTCACTTGCCATCACCGGTATATATAACTGTTTGACTATTCTTCTCCATCGTCGATCGACATGACGTGCTGACATACCCTCGGTCTTTTCGACTTGGAGGTACAGATCATCGAGGAGGCGGGAGGGAGCGAACCTTTTGTACTTCGCAGGTGCGGTGCATGGTTTGGTAGCGTGTGCAGTGCCCTTTTTGGTAGCGAATGATACAACTCCCCATCACCACCTCACATCTTCCTTATGATTGCCTATGCTTCTCTTCATTGCATTCACAAGACCCCTTACCACCTCCCATATCCACCATGCAGTAGCAAACCACCCCCTCACTTCCCACCCCACATCCATGAATCTTCTCAGCCCTCCATCTCCCATTCGTCGGCAAAGAACTCCACAATGTTCACTGCGGTCTGCGAACCCACCGCATCTTCCAATTCCTGCATACTCCCCGGCACACCAGAAGCAGCACCTAGGGCCGATACGACGAGTTCCCTTAGACTACCCACAACGTCGCTCAAAGCAATGACTTGCCCTTGGCTCAGCGGCGGCTCGGTTGTGCAGTAAGGAAGTAGGTCGCTGACTGCATTGCCAAGGGTGCGGGATGGTTGGCGTGGCGGCGGTTGGGGGATGGAAGGCGCGTTGTGAGATTGGCGAGGGAGTTGGGGGTGGTGACGTTGCTGAGAGGGGATGGTTCTGTCGTTGGTTGCTTGCGAATAGTAGTCTGCTCCACCGTCTAGTTGAGCAGGGGCGACAACGTTCATGGGGCGCCTCTCTCCACCTGGGATGGTGGATTGCTCCTTCTCATCGGGACGAGGCGCAGTATCGCTGGTGTTGTATAGAAGACCCATACCGAGGGTAAGCAGATGTGAGTGTTGGAGGCAATTGAGAATGGCCCCGTGTCAGAATGATTGAGTGTGTGTCTCTGAGATATCGAAGGAGTGTATTATTTGTATGTGGCCATAGTCAGTGTCTGAGCTAAGCTTCTTCTTGTAGAAGGTGCGTGAGTCGCGACGGAAAGAGCGACCAGCGGATGTAGACAGAACGTCAAATCAGGACGTGAAGCTAACAACAGAAGATTTTGGGAGCGCGACACTGTAAGGAACGAAAAACTTCATGCTTCTATCATTGTGTTGGGTATATGAGAGGAGTGTATCCGAATGGTGCTTTCGACATGGTACAACCATGAGTCGAGCCTAGAGAATGTATGCCCGTACGATGTACATATCTACGCTTCCCGAGTGTACATGCCTAGATCCTTATGTTGTGAGGGCTTATCGGCTGACGACTGCTCTTGCATCGCGGATGTAGCATTCGTCGATTGGGTGGCATCGCGCTGAGCCTCGACAGATGCTGGCTTCGCTTCGGCGCTCACGGCTTCAGGCTTCTTGTCTTCCTTCTTCCCACTGCCCGTGAAGAATCCTAGTAACTTTGAGGATGCGGGCTCCGGGTGCTTCGCCTTGAACTCCTCGAATTCTGCCTTGACTGCCTTGAGCTCAGCCTGCACCTCCTCCAAATCTTCTCTTATGTCGTCTCTGGCATTGCGTGCCTTCCTTCTTTGCCGCCATTGCTCGACGAGAATTACAGCGATCCCAACAGCGAATATGAAAGTCTCGGCAGCGAAGTTGGCGCCCATCTCGATGGCTTTTTGTTCGGATAGAGGTCGGATACGCGGCTTAATTCTCTCTTCAGTCTTCTTCTTGATAGCTTCTCGTTCCTTCTCCGTGAGCGCCTCCTCCGCCTTCATCTCCTCTTCAGTAAGAACCGTTGGGGCGGCTGCTTTTTTCCGCGCAGCCTCTGCTAATTGGACTTCCTTCTTAATCTGTCTGTCGATAACAGCCGGGTCCTGGAGGAGGCCGAGGCGCATGCGCATATCGACGCGATGCAAACCTTGGGCAAATTTGACGCATATCCGGCGGAAGCGATCGTGTTCGTGGGCATTGCGTTTGATGGCATTCTGGAGCGTGTCAATTTTGATTGAAGATTCCCGGGGCTGACCAACATACTGCTACAGGCTTCGCAAGCGTTCTGACGAACAGTGATGTGACCTTGAGCGTGAGAGACATGTTTGGTTACGAGAGCGTTTCGGCTGGTCGCGGGGAGGTATGGAGACAATTGACCGGCGGACGGCTGTGCATCGCAAGCTTCATACAGACAGACGCATCGGAACAGCTGTATAGCAAAGTGGTGTAGGATTATTCGTGGTGGTGCGCATGGCTGCAGGTTCGATGTTCAAATCGATGCTGCCTTGCGCTGCCGGAGATCCACCGACGGCGATGGCGATTGACTGCGGGCCCAGCAGCTCCATGACAACGCGGGAGACGTGACGAGACGCATGGACAGCGCACACGACTAACTCGAACTCGTACTGGATCGTGAGGCACGATCTCCAGTGCACGCTTGTGCAAGTCGCTGTGCATCGAGCGGACTGTGCCGGGCACCGATTGGCCGACAGCCCTAGCAACGACGCTAACGGGCCCTTGTTTACATGCCATCAACACTCAGCGACTTCGTCCCCGATTTCATCATCTCTCACCATCTACCTCCACGCCAATGTCTGCCTCGTCGATACACGCAGATGCCCCGCCGGCCGTGGTTCAGGACCCCGAGGGACTCCAATATGAAACGGGATCGCAGCTGGGCAAAGGCGGCTTCGCGATCTGCCATCGCGCAAAGCTGCTGGGCCACGAACACCTTGGCAGCTCTACCGTCGCTTTGAAGATTGTCAAATCCAAAATGGAGCCCCCCAAACTGGCGCAAAAGGTACTGGAAGCTTGGGAGGAATGCATGGCTGTTTGCTGACGCGCCGCAGTTTGTCACTGAACTACAGATCCACTCGAAGCTATCTCATCCCAACATCGTCGAGTTCTTCCGCGCCTTTTCTTTCGAATCAAGCACCTACGTTGTCCTGGAGCTATGCGAAAACGGTTCTCTTGCCGATGCGATCAAGAAGCGCAAATACTTCACCATGCCTGAGATCCGGCGGTTCATGATCCAGACGTGCGGCGCAATCAAATACCTCCACCAACGGAACATCGTACACCGCGATCTCAAGACAGGCAACCTCTTCCTCGACCGCGATATGAATGTCAAGGTCGGCGACTTCGGTCTTGCTGCACTACTGGTGTCACAGAGCGACTATGGGGCGATCCGTCGAACAACCATGTGTGGTACACCAAACTACCTTGCACCAGAGGTCTTGGAGAAGACAGGAAAGGGCCACGACGAGAAGGTCGACCTGTGGGCTATTGGAATCATGATGTACACACTCGCGGTCGGAAGGGCGCCATTCCACGCAGCCAAGCGCGAAGACATCTACCGGAAGCTGAAGGCTCGCGAATACACCTGGCCCGACCTCGCCAAGTTTGCCAACGAGATCACCGACGACCTCCGCGACATCGTCTCGCTACTGTTGGTGCACGAAGACGAGCGACCGACCCCCGACCAGATCGTTGCGCACCCTTTCTTCAAACTGGGCTATATCCCATTGGAGCTGAGCAGCGAATGTACCTCGCGGGTGCCGAAATGGCCGAAGAACCGCCCACCGACAGCATCCACGATCAGGCGTGGGTACACTGAGGAATGGTGGGCACTTTGCAAGTCCTCATCGGTCGGCGAATACGAACAAGGAAAGGCATTTGGAACCTTCGGTCGCAGAACCAACAAGACAGTAGCGAGAGATTGTCAAAAGGAGATTGAAGCCGGCAAGCAACCCAACATTCCGTTCTCCAAAGATGTCGTCTACGTACCTTTCCCTGCCCGCACGCAGTGGCCTCATCAAGCCCCGGGAGGGCTCAGCGAAATATCGGAAGAGAAGGAATCGTCATCTGAGAGCCAAGCCCTGTCAGAAACTACCGGGAACGAGCGGACAAAAACTCGTGCATCCAGAGCCCCAAGGAGAGAACCACAGCCGATGCAGACACTGAAGGAGAACGTAGAGCCAGCCGAAGAGCCAGAACCCGCGCATAGGATACTTGATAAACAGCCAACGCGGTTACGAGCAGCCCGCAAGATCTCCAACACTGGGCGTGTTACTGCGAGCACGGCTTCCGCACCTGCTCCCCTACGCGTCCCTCGTGAGGCACGAACTTCGACGCGCGCACGAACAGCGAAGGAAACCGCAAAGGAAGCGCCAAAGACAACATCGAACGGACTCCCTGACCTTCCACCTCTAAGAGTCTCCCGGACCAGCGCCCGAGAGAGCGCGAAATCGGAACCTGCGCCGCAACCAACTTCAGCGCGAAGTGCTCCCCGCTATCGAACCGTCAGCAATGACATGCCTGCGACTGACCCAGTGACTGTGTTGGCGCGCTTGATGACATTCCGCGATAATCTTGAACGAGCCCTCGACAAGAAGCCTACAAAGTCAAGAAGAGATCAGCCACCGCAATTACCATTTGTTGCAAAATGGGTAGACTACAGCCGCAGATACGGAGTGGGGTACGTCCTCAACGATGGTAGTATCGGGACACTCCTCTCTGCAGAAGATCAATACCCCGTTACGATCGCGTTTGCCACGGACGGATACAACCATCTACGAAAGGCTGGAGGTAACCGGGAGCTTGCCAAAAGCGTTGCGCTCAACTACTATACGACCGTGAAGAAGGACCGGGGACTGTCAGAGATTGAAGTGCTCGATTCGCGACGCATTGAGGAGATCCGGACAGTGTGGCACAAGTTCGGAAAGTACATGTGCGCAACCTTTGGCGACGAAGAAAAGCCGCTCAGAAAAGATCCCCGCGTGAACTTTGTTCGCTTCTACCAACGCCTTGGTAACGTCGGGATCTGGGGTTTCGACGACGGCTCCTTCCAAGTAAGCGCTTTTGCCAATTTTCACAAAGCCCGTCTAACAGTATCTTTAGTTCAACTTCCCCGACCACACCAAACTCGTCTTGTCGTCCGATGCAAGCTACGGGCACTTTTTATGCCTTCCTCTGGATGCGACGTCTCTTCTCGAAGAGACAGGAAACGTGCCGTGGAAGCACGTAAAGGCCAGAGCACATCTTCGCGGTTCATTGCAACAGCTTCTCTACGGCTCAGCCGACAAGGAAGACAGTTACAAAGAGCTCACAGAGGGCAACCTCCTCCGCGCCAAGATTGATTTCATCCATGCTGTCGTGTCGGAATGGTGTCAAGAAGGCGGTCTGGGCTGCCTCGTAGACCCCAAGGTCTATTCCTGGGGCGGTCCGCAACTAGAAGAGTCCAAGCGGTTGGACTGGGCGAGCGTTGGGCGTTTTGGCGGTGATGTTTTCTCATGATGATTGAATGACGACCTTGGAGCGATGGCGTTTTTGGGATCTGGGATATTTTTATAAGGGTTTTGGGCATTTCCATGGCGTCGCCTCTGCTATTGAGCAGTGCTGTTGTTCGAACACTCATTCACGACGGTTTGCATGTTGCTGGCGTTTTCTCCTAGCGATTAGTTTGAATGAGCATCCGGTCACGACCATCAACACGTTGGTGCCTAATGCCTAAGTTTGTGACACGTCACGAGAAATTATGCGTACGCGGCACACCCGGGTCGTCCTTGTGTTAGGCCTTTACTGACACTTTGATGTGGAAACTGGGCCGAGCCTGGATGGGTTCGCAGCGGCGACGGTGAATGATGAAGTAGTATGAGGGGAGATGATTTAGGAAGTAACATGATTACAATGCATAACAATCTGATGTGTGCAGCCCGACAGGAAATGGAGGTGAATGGAGATGACGAGGAATTCCAGCCGCGGCGGCAGCTTGCGCGTACGTCGTACTTGAATAGCTGTGGCTGTGCTGGATGGGGCGAGTACCCTCCGAAGCGCCCGATTCCATCCAGGGCTCTGACGTTGGCCGGTCTCTACAACCGCCGCATTGCAGCCATCTTTACACGCCCACACCCCCGAGCGACTGCTCTCCCCATACTGGCTCTTCCTGGCTTTGCCGTCCATTGTTAACATATTCGCTGCTCTCTGAAATCCGCAGCATACGTACTACCCCACTGGCCGGCTCAAGCTACAGGTCCCAGCTCGACGTCGGGCACCAATCATGGTAAGATGGAGAGAGACTTCGAGGGAGGAACACAGGCTGATACAGGTGATATGTAGGGGAAAACCAACCGCGCCGCGCGCAAGGCCGGAGGCGGCGCTCAGCCAAAGGCCCAGTTCGCTACCAAGGCCGTCTTCGAGACCACCAAGAAGAAGGAAGTCGGTGTATCGGATCTCACCTTGATCAGCAAGGTTTCGAATGAGGCCATCAACGAGAACCTGAAGAAGCGATTCGAAAATGGCGAGATATACGTGCGTCGACCCGCTTGCGCCAGCCCCGCGTCGCACACCCACGCAGCGATAGACTAGGACAGCGACTGACTATGGGCGCAGACATACATCGGCCACGTGCTGGTCTCAGTCAACCCGTTCCGCGACTGTAGGTGACAGGACATGCGCCTCAGAGGGGGATGCTGACAAGTGGCAGTGGGCATATACACCGACCAAGTGCTGGAGAGCTACAAGGGCAAGAACAGGCTGGAGGTGCGGTGCATAGCTGTCCACCAACTCCCAGGGCTAATGAGGCATAGGTACCCCCTCACGTCTTCGCAATCGCCGAGTCCGCCTACTACAACATGAACGCATACAAGGAGAACCAATGTGTCATCATCTCCGGCGAATCAGGAGCGGGAAAGACAGAAGCTGCGAAGCGACTTATGCAGTACATCGCCAATGTCTCGGGAGGTAGCAATTCATCTATCCAGGAGATCAAGGACATGGTGCTGGCCACCAACCCGCTGCTCGAATCCTTCGGAAACGCGAAGACGCTGAGGAACAACAATTCGTCGCGGTTCGGAAAGTATCTCGAGATCCACTTCAACGCGCAAGGAGAGCCAGTGGGAGCAAACATCAACAACTACCTGCTCGAGAAGACCCGAGTGACGGGTCAGATTGTGAACGAGCGCAACTTCCACATCTTCTACCAGTTCACAAAAGCCGCATCCTCACAATACAGAGGTACGCCCAATCTGACCAGACATTAGACTCGCGCTCACATGCACAGAAATCTTCGGATTACAACAACCGCAAGCCTACCTCTACACGAG